CCGCATTGGGTGTGTCATCTCGTTGTCCGAGTTAGGCGTTTCTTTAAATCGCCCTCCCTCTATTTGGTGTGACAACAAGAGTGCGGTTTTCCTTGTTGTCAATCCGTGTTCCATGCTCGTACAAGACATGTTGAGGTTGATTTTCACTTTGTTCGAGATCATGTTCGGCGTAAGTTTGTTTTGGTCAATTCTATCTCTCGCGCTGATCGCCTTGCCGATATTCGACAAAACCCTTGTCCAAAGAGTTATTCTTTCGATTTCGGGACAAACTTCGGCTTCTCTCTTCTCCGCCGTGAGTTTGCGGGGGCGTATTGTAATATTTAGTATATTTCCTATTATAGGGTTTGTTATTGTCTATATATAGTCTGTATATTGTGCACAACATATTATGAATTCAATACAATTTCCCTATTCTAAGTGTGAGTATCAGGCAAAATTCGAGGAATTGCGGGCAAGGATGTTGATCCAAGATCCAAGATTGTCATAATCTTATTTCATCCATAGTTTCTTGAGTGGGTTAAAGGAAGAACTGCAACTTGGGGTAAGAATGTTTGAACCTAAATCACCCATTGCTACTTTTAACTTGGCTCTTTTACAAGAACCGCAATTGGAGTTATCAATGAAGAAACACAAGATTGTGGGAAATTAGTTTTCCAGGCCTAATTTAGGATTCAGTCGTTCATCAGAGACTCCTAAACCTTCATTAAGATCCAGCAAACCAATCAATTCCGATATGGCGAAAAGGATCAGTAATGAAGAATATCAGTACCGGTTGAACAACCATCTTTGTTTCAAATGTGGTGAGAAATTCGGTCAAGGTCATGTCTGTAAATTCAGGCAGTTTAACATCATGATTGTAGATGATGGAGAAGAAGACGTTGAATCACCGGAATTGGAGGCACCAGAACTTCTAATTGATGAGGGGATCGACCTGAACGATTTGACTATTGAAGAAGGCTCTATGCACGTTTTGTCAGTTGATAACGTCAAGCAGACTATCCTGATTGCTGGAAATATCAAAGGAAGAATAGTCAAGATATTGATCGATACAGGGAGCACAGACAGTTTCATTGACATGCTGCTGGGCAAGGAAATGAAGCTACCCTTTTTACATTCTCAGATGTTCACTATTACTGTGGGGAATGGCAGCAAAATCTCAGGTAATTTGGTATCACCTAATTTGCATTGGAACATAGGAGAATATAAATTCAGTTGTGATTTGAAAACTACGAAGTTAGGGGGTTATGATATGATATTAGGGGTTGATTGGATGAGGCATTTTAGCCCTATTACCTTTGATTATGATGAAATGCATGTGAGGTTGAGTAAGTACGGTCGCCAATACATTCTCCAAGGTACTGGTACTCTAGCAAGTATGAGTTTGATTAGAGATAATGACTGTATGATATTAGATCAAGCAAGAAGGTGCAGTCTATTTGCCATGCAAATGCAAGAAACAATGGGAGTAGGATCATTCCTGGGAGACAATTATGTTGAAACTCCACTTCCTGAAAGCATTGGCAAGCCGTTGGATAAGTATTGTGCTATATCTAAGACTCCTAGTTCACTAACTCCAAACAGGGATGTTGATAATCAAATTCCTCTAAAAATGGGAGCTCAGCCATTCAAAATACCCCCCTATAGATGTCCACATGCGCACAAGTCTAAGATTGAAAGGCAAGTAGCTGAGTTGTTAGAGCAAGGTATTGCAAGAGCAAGCAAGAGTCCCTTTGCTTCACCAGTGATCTTGGTTAAAAGGAAGGACGAATGTTGGAGGATGTGTATTAACTATAGGAAACTCACTGACTTGACCATTAAAGACAAGTTCCCCATTCCTATTATAGAAGAGCTTTTGGATGAACTTAATGGTGCTGCTGTGTTTTCTAATTTGGATCTTCATCTGGTTATCATCAGATTCGTGTGAGTGAAGAAGACATCCACAAGACTGCCTTCCAAACACATCAAGGACACTATGAATTCCTTGTGACGCCATTCGGGTTGACTAATGCCCCAGCCACATTTCAGTCATTAATGAATCAAATTTTTCAGAAGCAAATGAGGAAGTTTGTCCTAGTATTTTTTGATGATATCCTAGTATGCAGCCCTAATTTGGATAGTCATATGACTCATTTGGAAGAAGTATTGCAACTTTTACAGTCTCATCAACTTTATGCAAAAAGAAGCAAGTGCAAATTTGCTCAAAATTCAGTTGATTACTTAGGCCACATTATTTCAGCTCAAGGGGTTAGCATGGATCCTCAAAAAGTTGCTTGTATAACTCAGTGGCCTACACCAACTACTGTTAAGGGACTAAGGAGTTTCCTAGGGTTGACCGGATATTATAGAAGGTTCATCCAAGGTTATGGTCTTCTATGCAAGCCACTTACCAATCTACTAAGAAATAATGCATTTCAGTGGAGTGAGAAAGCACAAGAATCATATCAGAATCTAAAGAAAGCTATTACATCAGCTCCTGTGTTAAGGTTACCTGATTTTTCCATACCTTTTGTAGTCGAAACGGATGCTTTGATGTTGGTATGGGGGTTGTGCTCATGCAACAGGGCCAACCCATTGCTTTCATTAGCAAGGCATTCAACTTGATGCATAGAGGCTTATCAGTTTATGAGAAGGAGTTAATGGCTCTTGTTTTAGCAGTAACCAAGTGGAGGCACTACCTTCTAGGAGTACGTTTCATCATTCGTACTGATCATCAATCACTTAAGTATTTGTTGGAGCAAAGGATGATTAACACTAATCAGCACAAGTGGTTAACAAAGCTCTTGGGTTATGATTATGAAATTCAATATAAGAAAGGGAAGGAAAATACTATGGCTAATGCTTTATCCAGAAGACAGAATCATGATCATAATACCAATGTTATGAAAGAAGAGTCAGCATCACTTCAAGCTATTACTTCTATATAACCACAATGGTTAGAGGATATCATCAGCAGTTATGAGCAGGATCAAGCTATAGCTGATATCATAGCCAGTATCACTGTACAGGTTGATGGAAATGGGGAGCATCAATATATCCAAGGTCTTTTGAAAAGGAAAGGAAAGATAGTTGTGGGAAACTAGAATGATCTCAAACAGTCTTTGCATCAAGCATTTCATTCATCACCTTTGGGAGGACATTCTGGCCAAGGAGTAACACTTTAGAAACTGAGATCATTCTTCTTCTGGACAGGAATGAAACAAGATGTGATGACTTTTGTGTCAAGTTGTGAAGTGTATCAAAGAAACAAACGGGAGAACGTTTCTTACCCCGGGTTACTACAACCAAATCCAATGCCACAGCATGCATGGAAAAGAATTTCAATGGATTTCATCACCAGATTGCCATTATCAAGAGGTTTTGATTCCATACTTGTGGTAGTTGATCGTCTCACCAAGTATGCTCATTTCATAGGATTACAGCCTCTTGTTACAGCAGTGAAGGTTTCTGAAGTATTCCTTAAAGAGATTTTCAGGTTGCATGGCTTGTCGGATGATATCATAACAGACAGAGATAAAGTTTTTACAAGCTAATTCTGGCAGGAGTTGTTTAAACATTTGAGAGTTCAGCTTAAGTTTAGCACAACATACCATCCGCAAACAGATGGCAAACAGAAAGGGTAAATCAGTGTCTAGGAAGTTACTTACGTTGTTTTTGTTGTGACAAACCTGATTCCTGGAGTCAATGGCTACCACTTGCTGAATGGTGGTACAATTCTTCACCTCATTCCAGCATCAAGCAGTCTCCATACGAAGCCCTTTATGGAGAAAAACCAACTCCTTTTCTATTGGGACCTTTCTCCGACAGCATTTTTCCTGTGGTTAATCAGGAGATCCAGCTAAGAGTAAGTGTTATCAGACTTCTCCAGGATAATCTCCAAAAAGCTCAGTAGCGAATGAAGTTCTTCGCAGATCAGCACAGGACAGAACGTACATTGGCAGTGGGAGAATGGGTATATTTGAAACTTCAACCATACAGGGAGTCAACTTTGGCGATTAGAGCTTGTTTGAGACTCATTTCCAAGTATTATGGCCCCTATAAAATCCTAGAAAAGGTTTGTACCGTAGCTTATAAACTTCAACTTCCTTCTCATTCTCGTGTGCATCTTGTTTTTCACGTATCACTCCTCAACAAGCACTTGGGAAAGCATCCAGCAGTTACCACCACTCCACCTGAATTATCACTTGTAGAGGAGAGAACTTTGTTTCCTGAACAGATCTTGCAGAGGCGGTTTACCATAAGGAATGGGAAGCAAATTGTTCAATGGCTCATCAAGTGGATAAACTTAGAGAAGGAAGAAGCTTCTTGGGAGGATCAAAGCCAATTCTCGGAATTCAAACCTTGAGGATCAGGTTTCTTTTGAGGGGGAGAGTTTGTCACGATCCGGGGTGGTTGTGCAAATTCAGGAAATATTGTACTCAATTGACTTGGGCATTTATTGTGATTCAGACCAAATTAGGGGTTATTCCAGTGCTTATTAGTAACTATTAGATAAGTTTCCATTTCGGATGTAATAGCAATAATTAGCCAGCTAATCATTGTGTAAAGTATTGCGTAATAATACAACAGATTCTTCCAGAATCTTTTCTCTCTTATCTCCAAATCTGATCTGTCTTCTCATCCCCTTCTTGATAATTTCCTCCGACTACCTTTTCCATCTTCCGTTTATCGAAAATTCCAATTCCGGCCAGCGATACGTGACACATTAGTACATGTTATGAGCCCAAGGTTTTAGCAAACACTTATTAGTTATCACCCATTTAGCTTGTTGGATTTAGGCAATACGATTTGAGTTTTTTTTTTCAAAAACATAATCCTAGTCAAAGTAAGAATCAATGGCCAATCAATGCAAAAGAGTCCATCAAGTTTGACCAAAACACAAAAAATAAAAAAATAAAAAAATCCATAAAAATGATCCACTAGACGACGTCGTTGGAAGACTGACACAATCTCTGTTTTCAACTAGTACTCTCCACTATTACCAAGTTTTATCCCAAATAGATAGATTGTAAATTACAAAGACTTCCAAAATTACTCACCGCCGCAACTCCGCCTTTCTAATTCACTCCGGGAAGTAATTCCGCTGCCTATGTAGCTTTCTTTCAATCGGTTGCGGTGGAAAAATACAGCGAGATCATGGAGGCTCTGAGGGTCCGATTGAGATCGTCAAACCCGCCGACAATTTTACCCGACGACGTAATGATGGGGATTTTCTCGACGGTGCCGATGAAGGATCTGGTTCGATTACGCCGGGTATGTAAGTCCTGGCAAAACCTCATAACCTCACTCGATATGTTCAAAGTTTTCCAAATCCAAACTTCCCTTTCCAGACAAAAAACCAGTCCTAACTGTCAAGATTTTGTTGAATTCCTCCTCTTAGACGACTGTAAATATGATAATGGTGATAAAACGCCCGACCTTCAAATTAGGGAACGATTATCTAAACTGACAGTAAAATTAGCCAAAGATGATAATTTGATTAGGACCCACCGACTAATCTGTAAAGACGGTGTGATTTCTTTGGTGGGTTGTTGCCATGGATTGCTCTGTTTTTCTAAACAGGGTGAAATTAACTGTGATGTGTATCTCTGCAATCCGGTTCTGGGTCAGGTTAGGGCTCTCCCAAAGAGCAAGTTGGACAGTATAGGGAGTAGTAAGAATGCTGTTGTTACATTCTTTTATGATGATTACGACAACGATTATAAAGCTGTGAAAATTGTGGAATTTTGTAATTTCTTGAAGGTTGGGGTATATAGTTTGAAGAACAACTCCTGGAAAATATTTAGCCCCTTAGCTATTCCTTGGAATCGGGTCTTTCTTCTGAAGGTTTCCAATGGCAGATCACAGTTGTTAGTTCATAAGGGTTGTATCTATTTGTTGGTTTACTTGTTGGCGTGTGATGATTTAGATGGGTTCCATGGACCTTATTTCTTGATCATCTTGGATGTGAACAATGGAGAAGCTCGAACAATTCCCTTACCGAATGGTCCGGATCTGCCACCTTGTCCATTAAATCTATTGTTTTTTAAAGGATCTGTTGCCTTTTCTAGTTGGTTCTTTAGCAATACATTCAGGTTTGATGAACTCTGGGTGTTCCAGGAGGATGGAAATTACAGTGACAATCTGCATTGGATGTTCAAGAAGGATGAGTGGGAAAGGTTTTGGAGGAAAAAGTCTGTTTCTCAAGAAAATTGTCCACCTCATCCCCTTCTTCCCTACAGAACAACTGGGGTAACAATGGGCAGAAATGAGCTTTATTTTTTGAGTTCTATTAAAGGCTCCGAGTTTGTATATGACATCCAGTCAAGAGACCTGTGGGATCATCCTGTAGCTGATTATGTTCCGAGTTTAGTTTCTGTAATGACCCCTTCTCCTTCTCCTCCTCCTCCTCCTTCTTGTGTCGAGACGAATATGGAAAATTCAGTTGACGAAGAAGAGAGTAAAGATCATTAACTTGGAAGAAGAATGATTAGCATACTAGAGGGGGCTCTCAGGAGTGTAGCAAGGCCTATGTTGTTCTTTTGTTCCTAAACAATGTATGTAGCAACACCTTTTCTAAGTTTTTTTTTTTTTTTTTTTTTTTCTTTTGTTTCTAAACTCTGTAGCAACACCTGTTTTATGTTGTATTTGTTCCTAAACTGCTATTCCTTGCGGTGGGTCTTGGCCACCAGATTCTTGTAATTCAAAATGAGCTGATTAGTGCTGGGATAGCTGATAGTATTCTCAACGGCTATTTTGAGAGGTAGTTTTTAAAAAGATGCTAGAAAATAGAGATCACAATGATTGTTAGCTATGGGAAGACATATATATACTCCCTATTCCACATAGTCCACATTTGAATTTTGAAATTGGTATAACCTCTGTTACTCGGACTCGGCCCTTCAGGGCAGAATACCCGTGTCGACATGAGTCGACACCGACACGGGTATGAAATCCGGATGGAATGGGGTCAAAAAAATTTGGATGCATTGACTGTACAAAGGCTGATTTTGGCGATTCAAGACTCAAGAGCGGCGGGATGTTTGACGTCCAAATCCCGCACGCAGCCACCAAGAAGGGTAGAGATTGATTGGAAAGGATTGGAGAAGACAGAAGATAGTCAAAAAATCATCAAGTATGAAATTGAACAGTTTGGCTGCAACAAGTATCAAGTATCAAGATAAAGAGTCAAACATTCTAGACTAATGCCAGATCCAACATGCCAATTGCCGACCTATTTTGTACTTTCCGATTACAAAAATCAGATTATGTTGCTCTTGGTTCATTATGTTCTTCAACTAGTATACTTAATCTTTTTGGATTTATGTAGTTCATAGCTTCATGCATTTTATGATGACTTTAAACTTAAATTTTAGATTAAAAAAAATCACGAATCATACAAAATAACAAATCAGATCTCTGTATCCGTATCCATGTCTAAATCCATACCTACATATCCTAGATTAACAAAATTTACGAATCCGACACTTAGATCCCGTGTCGTATCGGACACGCGTACCCGAGTCCGGGTAACATAGGGTATAACTAATACTAGTCTCAAAACTCATTGTAGTCTATTTCTGTGGGACGAAGGAAATATATTTTGTTTTTCCAAAAATGATCCTGCATTTTGATTTCTTGTAATTGGAGGTTGTCAACCATGGACATACATTTGCTGCTTGGTGGACTACTTGGCGCAGCTGTTGTTACTTCGCGTCCGGGCTTCTTATTGATATGCTTTTGGGGGTTACTTAGCTGTTGGGAAATTATCCCATGTTCCTAATAAGCTTCATAAATCTGCTAGTGTAATTATAACTCCAACAAAACATAAGATTGCCCTTGCCCTTGCACTGCTAGTGTCCTAGCCTTGGCGATTTTCTATTTGGATGCTGTTCATAACTAGAATTCATTTTAAATTAAAACTCAATTGTGCAAATGAGAGATAACGATGAGAAGAAATTGGAACTGTAAATTGAAAAACTATGGAAAGTGGTTTGTGGGATGAGGTTTGAGGGCAATTTATTGGGTGCACCCAGGGGCACCATACTCCTCCTCCTATTTTTTGTACTACTAGTCCTTATTGTACTTTTTTTACTTTTTCTAATAATCTTCCTATTATTTACAAGTTTAGTCCCTGTTAATTTTTTCTCTCTCCAAAAAAAAATCTTTAATCTTTAAACAAGAATATCTCTCAATCCGTGAAGAATTAGAAAACGTGTTATACATGAAATTTATTGTTCTCGTCGAGATCTATCCAACAAGATCCATAGTGAATATTTTTTCCAGCCTTAGAAATGATTAAATTCTGATGGTCAGAATGAAGGTAGATATCCAGTTTTACAAGATGGATAACCAAGTTATTTTAAATTGGTTATCCATTGTGTTCATGCTGATTATCTAACCAGTTTTAACTGGTTATCCAACTTTGTTTGTACTGGATATCATCCATTTGGTTTGTATGCCTATCAAACTTGTTTGTAATGGATATCTCATTTGTTTGTACTGGATATCCAATTCGCTTGTACTGGATATCCATCCATTTGTTTTATATGCTTATCCAACTTGTTTTCTAGTTGTAATCCAACAGGTTTGTATGCATATCCAACTTGTTTGTGCTGGATATGTAACTCGCTTGTACTGGATATCAAACTTGTTTGTACTGGATATCTATCCATTTGATTTGTATGCCTATCCAACTTGTTTGTATTGGATATCCATCCATTTGGTTTGTATGCCTATCTAACTTGTTTGTATGCACTGGATATTTATCCAACTTGTTTGTATTGAATATCCATCCATTTGGTGTGTATGCCTATCCAACTTGTTTGTAATGGATATCTCACTTTTTTTGTACTGGATATCCAACTCGTTTGTATTGGATATCCATCCATTTGGTTTTTCAGTATGAACACAACGGATAATCATTTTTCAATTTATTCATTTCTGCCCGTAAGATTTAAATGCATTTAAAGTTCAAAAGAAATATTCAACATTGATCTTATCAGATAGATCTCGTCGAGCACTATAAATTTCATATATAATTTGTGTTATAATTCTTTATGGATCAAAAGATATAAGGAACACAACAATATGAATGTAAAATAAGTTGGTTATCTATCTTCTTAAACTGGATATGCAATGTGTTCATATTGATTATCTAACTTCCTTGTGGTGGTTATCCAATATTTTTTTTCCTTGCTCTTTTATGAAAATGATTGTCAAACTTTTTTGTAATGATTATCCAACGTGTTGCACTGATTATACAATTATTTTCTATTGATTATCCAAATTGTTTGCAATGCTTATCCAATTATTTTTCTTTCTTTTTTTTTTTTTGAAGAGTGAATGTCAAAAATATGATTGGATAACAAGTACAAACAGAATGGATAATCAGTCCAAACCGGTTGGATAATCAGTAGGAACACAACGGATAACCATTTTTCAAAGAAAAACGAAAAACACATTTCTTCATTTCTGCCCGTAAAATATAAATGCATTTAAAGTTCAAAAAAAATATTCAAGATGGATCTTATCGGATAGATTTCGTCGAGCACTATAAATTTCATGTATAATTCATATTCTAATTCTTTACGGATCAAGAGATATATGCAATACAAGAATCTTAATCTAAACTAAACTGGTTATCCATCTTTCTAAACTAGATATCCATCTCATTCTACCCATCAAAATTTAGTCATTTTTAAACTCGAAAAAGATATTCGACATGGATCTTGTTGGATATATATCTCGACGAGTACAATCAATTTCATGGGTAACACGTTTTCTAATTCTTCACGGATCATGAGATATGGTCGTTTAAAGATTATTGATATTTTTTAAAGGAGAGAGAAAAAAAATCAAAGGGACTAAACCTGTAAATTACAAGATGTTATTTAGAAAAGTCGAAAAAAGTGTAGTAAGGACTAATAGTGTAAAAAATAGAAGGGGGAGTATGGTGCCCCCGGGTATACTGGATAGAGACTCAGGTTTGAGGTCGGTTTTTGGAGTCTCTATCCAGTATACCCGGGGGCACCATACTCCACCTCCTATTTTTTACACTATTACTCCTTACTACACTTTTTTTCCACTTTTCTAAGTAACATCCTATAATTTATAGGTTTAGTCCCTTTGATTTTTTTCCTCTCTCCTTTAAAAAACATCTCTAATCTTTAAACGATCATATCTCATGATCCGTAAAAAATTAGAGAACGTGTTATACATGAAAATTATAGTACTCGTCGAGATCTATCCAACAAGATCTATATCGAATATTTTTTTCGAGTTTAAAAATGACTAAATTTTAATGGGCAGAATAACATGGATATCTAGTTTAGAAAGATGGATAACCAGTTTAGTTTAGATTAAGATTCTTATATTGCATATATCTCTTGATCCGTAAAGAATTAGAATACAAATTATACATGAAATTTATAGTGCTCGACGAAATCTATCTGATAAGATCTATGTTGAATATTTTTTTTGAAATTTAAATGCGTTTAAATTTTACAGGCAGAAAGAAAGAAATGTTTTTTTGGTTTTTCTTTGAAAACTAGTTATCCGTTGTGTTCCTACTGATTATCCAACCGGTTTGGACTGATTATCCATTCTATTTGTACTTGTTATCCAATCATATTTTTGACATTTCAAAAAAAAAAAAGAGAGAAACAAAAAATGATTGGATAAGCATTGCAAACAATTTGGATAATCAATAGAAAATAATTGGATAATCAGTGCAACACGTTGGATAATCAATACAAAAAAGTTTGAGAATCATTTTCATAAAAGAGCAAGGAAAAAAATACTGGATAACCACAACAAAGAAGTTGGATAATCAATATGAACACATTGGATATCTAGTTTAAGAAGATGGATAACTAACTTATTTTACATTCATATTGTTGTGTTCTTTATATCTTTTGATTAGTAAAGAATTATAACACGAATTATATATGAAATTTATAGTACGCGACGGATCTATCCGATAAGATCAATGTTGAATATTTCTTTTGAACTTTAAATGCATTTAAATCTTACGGGCATAAATGAATAAACTGAAAAATAATTATCCGTTATGTTCATACTGATTATCTAACCAGTTTGGACTAATTACCTATTTTGTTTTATCCAATCCTATTTTTTACATTCACTTTTCAAAAAAGAAAAAAAAAAGATGGATGACCAACTTAGTTTAGATTGATATTCTTTTTTCAAAAAAAATAATAATAAGAGAAAGAAAAGCTAGGTTGGATAAGCAGTATAAATGAAATGGATAATTAGTTCAAACATGTCGAATAATCAGTACGAACACAAAGGATAATTATTTTAAGAAAAAAAACTAGGTTGGATAAGCACTACCGATTAGTTGGATAACAAGTACAAACATGTCGGACGAGTATTTTTTTATAAAAAAATAACTGAAGAAACAATAACACGGGGTTGGATAATCAGTACGCACACATTAATTAGACAAGCATTTTGTCGAGAGAAGAAAAAAAATGATTGGACAAGTAATTACAAACTTATTTGGACATGCAATAAAAATAAATGAATAACCAATACGAAGCGATTGGATAATCAGTATGAACACATTGGATAATCGTGTTTCAAAGGAAAAAAAAAATTGGATAAGCGACATAAACAGAATGGATAACCAGTATTAGTGTATCAGACAACAATTTTCTCCAAACAAAAAAAAAATAAATTAGATAACCAGTACAAACAGTTTGGATAGGCATATAAATCTGTTGGATAACCAGTACATATAAGTTGGATAGGCATACAAACCAACAAGTGAATGGATACCCAGTATAAGTGAGTTGGATATGCAGTGCAAATAAGTTTGATATGCATACAAATCCGTTGCATTACAACTACAAAACAAGTTGGAAGTTAAATAGGCATAAAAACTAAATGGATGGATATCCAGTACAAACGAGTTGGATATCCAGTACAAACCAAATGGTTATCCAGTACAAACAAGTGGGATATCCATTACAAACAAGTTTGATAAGTATACAAACCAAATGGATGATATCCAGTACAAACAAGTTGGATAACCAATTCAAATTGGTTGGATAATCAACATGAACACAATGGATAACCAATTTAAAATAACTTGGTTATCCATCTTGTAAAACTGGATATCCACCTTCATTCTGCCCATCAGAATTTAATCATTTTTAAGCCTGAAAAAAATATTCACTATGGATCTTGTTGGATAGATCTCGACGAGAATAATAAATTTCATGTGTAACACGTTTTATAATTCTTCACGGATTGAGAGATATGCTTGTTTAAATATTAGAGATGTTTTTTTAGAGGAGAGAAAAAAAATTGACAGGGACTAAATTTACAAATAATAGGAAGATTATTAGAAAAAGTAAAAAAAAATACAATAAGGACTAGTAGTGCAAAAAATAGGAGAGGGAGTATGGTGCCCCGGGTGCACCCAATAAATTGCAGGTTTTTGTGGCCGGGTGGGTTGCGTGAGTATATTTGGCTATTTTAGTTAATGTCCATCAGAATGAGGAGGAAAAAAGAGCTGATGTAAAAGCGAAATGTGTCATAATTTTCACTCTGTTTTCAAAAGGTGTGTATAGTTATATATATGCACCTATGCAGGATTAGACTAAAAGTACACTAAATATTTGTTTAACTAATAATACCAAAAAAATCGCTAGATGAACCATAAAATTCTTGTAAGCGAGGATTCGTTTTGTTTTTTGGTTTTTAAAATGAATAAGGTACTGTAATCGAAAAGGAGAAAAAGTGCTTGTCAAGTTGCCAAATAGGCTTGGAAAAGTTCTTTAAAAACAATTTAAAAAATGTCATATGAGGTACTAGTGCGAGAACCAACGAACCAACTAAAAAAACTATGTGTTTTACACTTTACACTTTATATACTATCTATAGAAGAACATAATAATGGATAATAATTTACATGTTTCTGAAATAAATAGCCATGTAAGAACCGCACTTATCGCAGGCACTAAATCTGTATTTTACGGATTTGACAGATCAACGTTCTACGGTAAATTTGGGGGAACAAATGAGCGTTAAGGCGGGTGGGCGCAGATGATTCAGAATGTGGGAATGACGTCTCTTGAAAAGCTAAACTATCTCCAATTCAGGATTCACCCAGTAATATTGAACCTTTATAGATGACCAAAGTTCTTGAAGTAAGCTGGTGTATTCTATATATACCAGTCCAAATTGCTAGGCACAAAAACTCCGGAATTGAACCTTAAAAAGGAAAATCATCCGTACTTAGATGCAGTTGAGACCTTTCTGCATCCAAAACTTTTTGGTTTGTGTTTCCAAGGTGTAAAGTGGTCTAGTTTTTCGACTTCAGGTTAGTTTGTTATAGCTTAATTGTTCTTCAAATTCGTCAATTGCAGATGGCGATAATGGTATGTTCGGTTAACTTTTGGTCCGTTACTGCTGCTAAATACTCCATCCGGCTTTATTAGATAACACTTCTACTTATCCTAAGTTTTATTTAGCATACTCTTACAAAAGATACTTTTACATATATTTTATAATAATTGGTAGAACACAAGAAATGTGAAAATATTTTCAAGATTTTATTTCAAAGAGAATAACATAGTACAACAAAAACTCTACAAAATAGTCTTGGATCCAAAAAAATTATTAATTTGTAAAGATTATTATGTTATCAATATATTACTGATTATTATTTTATCAATAAATAAATATTTTATAATTACTTTTTTTCAATTTCTATTAAGAAGCAAATACTCAACCTCAATCATGTTTCCTATATATTTATGATCCTATTATTTATTACTGGTTGGAGGGAAAATCATGGATAAAAATTTTCTTACATGTAAAGTTGAAGAAAAACAATAACTCAATAACTTCCTATTTTCTTAAAACTTTTATTTTGTCTTTTATATCGTTATTAATTTATGATATTTAAAGACCTATATATTTATACGAGAATTTTTTGAAAATTTGTTATCTTATGATTCATTTATTGATTTTGCTTGATTTTTGTATTGGTCACGAGTTGGAACTGAAAAATTTTATTATTTAATATAATTATTAATTTAGAGAATTTTACTATAAACGAAATTTAGGACTAACCAAAATAAGAGAATTTGTAATTCAATCATGTTGTTTCTTCATCTCTGGCAGACTAATCTATCTTTGTTTAGTGCATCATTATGGTTGCTGCTTCGTTTATTGTAATCTTATTTTGCTGCCTTGATAATGTTCATTGATCCATTCCCAACTGAAAGATACCGTGTTTGGATCATAGAGGCTACTCTGTTCTGCTAAAGATTTGAGTTAATTAATTTTCTGTTCTGCTTTGTAGTTTGCGTCTGGGCATAAGAATTAAGAAAAGGACACCATGGCTATGGCCGCTCCGGTTGAATTGCTTCTGGGCTCAATTGCGTTTGCTACATTCTGGGTTCTTGCGGTATTCCCGGCTGTCCCATTTCTTCCGATTGGTAGAACCGCCGGATCTCTTCTCGGGGCCACGCTTATGGTCATTTTCCGAGTCATAACTCCTGATCAGGCCTATGCTGCCATTAATCTCCCGATTCTCGGTCTCTTGTTTGGTACAATGGTAGTTAGTACCAATCTGGAAAGAGCTGACTTGTTCAAATACTTAGGTAAGTTGCTATCTTGGAGAAGTATGGGACCAAAAGATTTGCTGTGTCGAATCTGTATCATTTCCGCGATCTCAAGTGCCCTCTTCACTAACGATACATCCTGTGTTGTTTTGACGGAATTCGTGTTGATTATTGCAAGGCAGCATAATCTTCCACCACATCCGTTCTTACTAGCCTTAGCGTCGAGCGCGAATATCGGGTCTTCAGCAACTCCGATTGGGAATCCTCAGAATCTAGTTATAGCAATACAGAGTAAGATTTCATTTGGTGCCTTTTTATTTGGGTTATTGCCTGCTATGCTGGTATTGGAGATTGTTATCCCCACACAAAGATGTAGAAGCTCCTGCTTCTGTGGAAATGGTGGCTGAAGAAGAAGTGATTTCGCACCGTTTTTCTCCAGCAACTATGTCTCATTTCACGTCTTCAAATTCCGAAGAATTGGACTCTACGTTGGGATCACTGGAATCATTGAATAGTAGTAGTAGCTCTCCGGATGTAAATGGTCACAAAAATAATCAGGTTGAGACCATTCAGAACAGAGGAGCTGTGAATGCGAATGAAACACATAAGATATCGACAGAGAGTAAACAGGAAAGCGTAATTTCGATTGGTGATCTCAACATAATCAGCTGTGAAGAGAAATCAGAATGGAAAAGATTATATTGGAAAACTTGTGTTTATCTTGTCACAATTGGAATGTTAATATCCTTGCTAATAGGTCTCAACATGTCCTGGACTGCAGTTACTGCTGCCCTGGCTCTCGTCGTCCTGGATTTTAAGGATGCCCGTCCGTGCCTTGAAAAGGTGAACTGATTCTGCTCTTGGTTTCCAATTGACAAAGTTGTTGGTAATTTTAATCCGCCATGCTTGGCTACACAGATTGTTAAATTTTCTCCCATTTATTATAATTGCAGGTTTCATACTCACTGCTGATATTCTTTTGCGGAATGTTTATCACCGTTGATGGATTCAATAAGACAGGAATCCCTAGTGCGATGTGGAATTTTATGGAGCCTTATTCACAAATCAATCGCATCAGTGGAATGGCGATCCTTTCTCTTGTCATACTTTTCCTCTCAAATTTGGCTTCAAATGTACCCACAGGTAAGATCAGAGTTTTTGAACTTTTCTTAGCTTAGCGGAGTACATATCAGTATTTGAATATGCGCTTATGAGAGTTACATGTGAATCTTGGTCCATATATAGTTCTACTGCTAGGGGCACGCGTCGCGGCATCAGCGGCTGCAATATCTCCGTCAAGTGAGAAGAAGGCGTGGCTGCTTTTAGCTTTTGTCAGCACAGTTGCAGGAAACCTTTCCCTGCTGGGATCGGCAGCCAACCTGATAGTGTGCGAGCAGGCTCGTCGCTCTCAGCATTTCAGTTACAATCTCTCATTTTGGAATCACCTCAAGTTTGGTTTCCCCTCCACCCTTATCGTGACTGCAATTGGTTTAATGCTGATCAAGGGATAATGCAACTATCTCTTTCTCACTGTTTAGGGCATAATAATTAGTACTGATTCCGAACTTCAATAATAAGCCTCATCTCTGGGAGCACCCACAACCTGTAATATATTTCTTGTGTGAATAAAATGGGGACATATGCTCTGCGAGTATCAGTTATTCCCATCCAGTAGTATAGAACTCAATGGAAACAGAGAGCAATAATTTCTTCTTAATCGACTTTCATGGTTGGAAGATCCATAATTCTCCATGATTCATCAATGCCAATTGTGAGATCCATGGTTGGAAGATCTCACATCTCAGATTACGCTCCTGATAGGAGATCTTCAACAACTTGTACAGAATTATTGAGGATCAAAACCAAAACGTTTAGGCAATGACGAAGTTCACTTCCATTGCTATCCAGGCTCGTGTAGAAAAAGTCGTACGCACGCATTATAGCGATCAATGATTAAAGAGTGCCCTGAAACTACTGCAAGGAAGGATCTACCCACAGTTACTGATAGTCATAACTTTGAAACACACTGAATCGCATAAGAGATTTTATAGGGAAGTAGTAATACTAATGTTTCCAAGATTTAAATCAGTGAACATATCTCATGAAAGTGATGAATATGAATTAAATAAGTGCCATGAGCTGATGCGTGGACCGTGTTGTTGTTCCCCTGGAATTCACAAAACAACGCGCATTGGCATTTTTGCAGTTTGATGCGATTCTAGGCGTTTTGCCTCTTTAATTGTAACCAAAAAAAAAAAAAAAAGGAAAAGGTTTGGGTCGACTTAACTATGATTCGTGCATGAGCATAGAAACAGTGATTATTAATATACTAATTGGGAGACTTTGTCTCTGGAAAGAGGGTTTACCCGGATTAGTCAGTGTATAATTTGGATGCATGATGTGTAATATGCTAAAATAAAATAAAATTTTATTTGTTGTTTATTAAGAACCAGAATCATTGCCTAAATACTCCTTCTATCCCAAAATTATTGTCCAATTTGGTTTGGATCTTTTAGTTTTAGTACAAATTGAATTAAAAGTTAAAATTCAGGACAATAATTTTGGAACAAAGAATTATGTAAGAACCAGCACCAAAAGTATTAGACAGAGTCGGATCTGCATAAGAATCCTCTGTTCAATTTGTCAGACACGCAAGAAAATTAAAATTACTCATAAAAAGTCATCGGCGCGCCGCCGGCCATCCAGCCGCCCGCTATTGTGGAGCTTCTCTTCTTCACGGGGGAGAATTCATCGTGAACATGGAAGACATGGAAAGTTTGAATGATTTGGGACAGCCTGCAATGTTCCCCGATGATATAATTTTGGAGATTTTGCTTCATCTGCCAAAGAATTACCAGGTTCGATTTTGTTTGGTATGTAAATCCTGGCAGAACCTAATAACCTCACCCGACACCTTCAAACTTTTTAATCATCAAATTTCTTCTTCCAGACAAAATATCAATGGTACTGCCAATGACTTTCTTCTGCTAGCCAATTGTTGTGAAGCTGATGAAGAACCAGAGGTTCAGATTAGGAATCTGTTTGGTAAATTGAAGGAGAAACTAGCTGAAGACGAAGGCCTGATTCGGACCCATCGGCTCTTCTTTGAAGATGAAGGTGAGATTAGTTTTGTGGGTTGCTGCGATGGATTGCTATGTTTTGTTAAACACGGCAAAAACAATGGTGATGTGTACCTTTGCAATCCGGTTTTGGGTCAGGTTCGGGCTCTTCCGATGACCGAGTTTACACCCGACCATATATGCGGTAGTAAGAACACTCTCGCCGCATTCTTCTATGATGACCACAGCAGTGACTATAAAGTTGTGAAAATGATAGATTGTGCTTTCGGGTTGAAGGTTGGAGTATATAGTCTGAGGAGTAACTCTTGGACAATATTAAGGACCTTTATCACTCCCCGCAGCCAGGGATTTTTTCTTTTATGCCTTCCAAGCCAAAGTTCAAGAGCAAAGTTCTTAGTTCATAACCGCCGCGTCTATATACTGCTTTATCGTCATGGTATGGGAATCTTGGATGTAAGCAAAGAAGAAGCTCCACTAGTTTTCAAGCCAACTCCGGAACCTCTTACTAATCTAAATAAGATATTCCTATTTGAAGGATCTGTTGCGGTTTCGAGTCATCTTTTTCCCAGTTCTTACGGTTATAGTGACCTGTGGGTGTTTCAGGAGGATGCCAATGATGACAACGATGATATTTGGCAGGTCAGGACTAAGGATTGGGAAAAATTCTGGACAAAAAAGTCTGTTCCTCCTGCAAATCGTCCCACTATTACTCCCCTTCCCTCCGAAAGGTCATATTGGGTTGTAATAATGGGCACAAATGAGAAGTTTTCGCAGATGGGATCTAATTGGCCAGCGGAGTGGCGGCATCTTGTTGTAACTGATTATGTTCCGAGCTTAATTTCAATAATGTTCCTGCCTCTTCCTCCTCCTCCTCCTCCTTCTGTTGGTGATGGGATGAAAGAAAAAGGTCCAAGGAGGAAGAATTAGAAGAAACTTCAGGCGTACTAGATTCACTCAAGTGTTTATGGTCAGCTATACTTTGTTATTCAGAAAGAAAATCCTTAGCCACTCATGGACGGAACCATGGCGGCTTCATTCTCCATGAAAATTCAAGAAAAATTGGACGAAATAAAAGGTTTGAGGTGCTAGCCTTTGGCCTATGCACGGTTGCCCATAAAAATAAAACAAAAGTCTATTTGTAAAAAGAACTTTAGGTCAGCTGCTGGAAAAGAAAAAGAGATCCACGATTTGTAATTTTGGTCCTTCAAGTTTGTAGTATTTTTACTTTTGCTCCAAAACTTCTTCAATTTTGCATTTAAGTCTCTGATCGTGCAAAATCATCCAAAACAGCTCCAATCTCTTATGTCCAGCTCTAACAAGAAATAATAACAAAATTAATGAATTAAACCCATCCGAGTCCAAAAATTAGTAAAATAAGAACAATTAAAACACAATTTATGGACTCTATCAGAAACTCTCGACATATTCTATTTACCATATTTGTCACACTTTGCGGTAAAATAGAGTAGAGACCCGATATGAGTGCATTGACATGAGAACAATGTTGACCAAACAAAACCTGCCAGCATATATTGATTCCTCGTACTCCAACACTTTATTCGAGTAACTATTCTGCTTAGTATATCTGGGCATTCTACTTGAGACTATTATTTTGTGGTAAAGACACTCCTAGATATTTCACTTGACAATTGCCACGCTGAAATTTAGTTATCCTACAAATATCATCATGCAACCTTTCTCCAACTCCACCAAAATTTACACCAAAGACTTCTAAGGGTTAGCTACTAATCCTGTAGTGTCAGTGATATCTTTGAACACAGTCATAATACTCCTAACAGTCTGAACATCTGCTTTACAGAAAACCATTAGGCCATCTACAAAACAGTATTCGTCAACTTCAGCTCCTTACTCATGGGTGCAACCTGAACTTTCCATTCGCCGCCTTTTTCAAACTTCTCATCAAATACTCCATCACTAAGACAAACAGAAGGGGAGACATAGATCCCCCTATCTTAAACCTCACTTTCTAGGAAAAAAACCAATAAGGTTTCCATTATCGACAAAGAAAAGCTGGGCGTCGAAACACAAACCACAATCGATATGCTAACCAATTCTTGGAACCCAAACCCTAATAACATATCCTCAAAAATACCCCACTCCACTGAGTCACAAGCCTTTTTAAGATCGATTTTCATCATCATTCTACCACTTATCCCTTTTCTCCTATACAGCCTGATTAATTCTTGAATAATCAATACAGTGTGCTTGATCAGTGTATCTTTTACAAAAGCCTTTCGGTTATCACTTATCAAGCTTGGAAGCATATCTTTCGCTCTAATTCATATAATCTTCGATATACACCACCTTTGGAATTAAAGTAATAAGAGTTGAGTTTAATTGCTTTAATACCTGGCCAAAATGGAAAAACTTCAGTACAACTGTTGTTACCTCCCCTCCCACCACTTGCCATGCTGATTTGAAGAATCCTGATTCATATCCATCTGGACCAGGATTTCTGCTCTCATCCATCTCCCATATTGCTGCTTTAACTTCTTCTTTGTGCACTGGCTTAATCAATCTCATATGCGCCTCCACAGTTCAAATTGGTCGCAGCTTGAATATTGCTGGTTCAGCTGGTTTTCTCAAAGATGCATGTCCCAATATCTTTTGATAATAGTGAATTAAATGATTCTCAATCTCCTTACTTTTGTTTTTTTTTTTTTTTATCAAAATCAACCCCAGTGGCCCACTCAAATGTGGGTAAAGATCCCTACGTACCCTTGGTGGGAATTTAATGCAGGTCTAATACTAGGAAGCAGAGCATCCTAACCACTAGGCTGTCATTCAATTCCCTTCTCAATCTCCTTACTTTCATATGCTTCATTGCCTCCAACATCAAATACTGACAAAATCTTGTTTTCACTGTCTTGACTTTTAACACTAGATGAAAGTATCTAGTGTTTTCGTCTCTTTCTGCTACTCACTTCTACTTAGCCTTCTGCAGTAAAAAGCTGTATACAACCTTCCTTGCTTTCACATACTTACTATAGGCTTCACTCTCCTTCTTTTGTAATGCTTCATTCTCAGGATCATCACTTATTACCTCCCGACACCCCTTCAATAATCTCTGAGTTCTTTCAACCATGTCAAAGAATTGTTCTCTACTTAAGTGCTTCAAGTCAACCTTCAGCCTCTTTAGTTTTAAATATACTTGAAGCATCATAGTTCCTCTGGCACGCATTTTCCAACTTTCCTGAACCACATGTAAAAATTTCAGTGATAGACTCCATATGTTGAGACCTAAAAGGTTTAGGTTTTTTCGGAACATCCACCACCATTTTTACTTGCAAAGGAGCATGATCAGATATACCTTCTGTTAATACAGAGACTAGAGACTCATTATGTTTGTCCACCCATTCCACATTTACTAGTGCTCTATCTAGTTTTGACTATACTCTTTCACCTCCTAATCTTTGGTTGCACCATGTGAAGAACTTTTCTATTTGCCTAAGATCATGTACTCCATATCCCTGTTACTGGAATTCTTCAAAATCCTAAACTACAACAGGCTTTCCACCCTATTATAAACCAAGGAATTCCAACATTTATAGATAAGTCAATCGAACCAGTCCATAATTTGATCTCTCATCATGGAAAATTGAGGCATAGATCCCTGTGAAGTAGAAACTACTCTTATCAGCTTTGTTCATTCACAGACAATGTAGCATCTGATCACTTTGGCTTACATACTTTAAATCCACTGCATCATTCCACTATATCATAATTCTGCCCCTTTCATTACTAGAGTAATTATTTAACCACTGCATCCATTCCGTTACCACTTCACATAAATCTCCCCCTTTCTTTTATCATTTTTGTTTCAACTAAAGACACTATATATGGTTTACTTGCACTCACCATTCGTTGAACCTCTCTTTGTTCCAAGAGAGGACCACTCATGAGAACCATGTCCTGGATCCCGTAACAAGTTCTCCTTATATCCCCTATTTTTAGAGTTAGCTCCTGTGTCATCTAGACATATTTAAACTTCTTGGGCTTTCTCATATAGAGACTGCACAACAGTTACCACCTAAGTATCTTTGACAACAAGGTTCTCTATTTCATTATCTACCTCTTCTGCACATCTACCCTTCCCTTTTTTGGATCTCATTCTGTTAGACACAATGACTCTTTGTAGGATCCCTCTTTTTGAGGAATCACTGCAAAATCATCTTCAATACCTTTGGCAATTTTTGAGATCCCTAGGTTCAAGTTACTACTCCTTTTCTTTCTCCACTCTTTTCCATACTGCCTGCACCTTTTTTGGTCTTTGGTTCCAAATACCCAATTTTCTTCCTACTTCTTTGAGTTTGATGCCCATAACCCAAGCACTGATTACACTTAGTTGGATCGGACTCATGAATAATCTTTTGGACCCTAACATGGCTAGTCTCATCCCCATAAAGTGGTTTATCAGGCACAGAATCAGAAATATCCATTTCCACAAGAATTCTAACATATTTAACTCTACTTTAGGTAACAGTGCATTCATCAGCTAGAATAGGACATCCAATACCACTCACCAATCTACTCGAAGAGTACACAATCAAAAACTTATGTTCAAGACCATATAGACAAATCGATACATGTACTTTTTCAATTTCATAGTAATTCAGGCCCTTATCAACATTCCATGGTTTCACAATTAAATGCTTAGAATTGAAGTGATAGTAATTGACCCCGAATGCTTCATCCCTAGCGTTTAAAGTCGTAAATCTTACCACAAAGAGAACACTGGGTAAGAGCAGTACCTTTTCAACTCCTAACTTTCCCCAAATCTTTCTCAAATCTGCTTCCATTATCCCTATCAGTGGATTAGCCCTAGGACAAAGCAAACCACTAAAGATTCCCAAAAGTTTGCTTCCTCCTTGACATCTTCAAGCTGGATTCGCCCTATGAGTTGTCCTACAATAAATTTAGGTTCAAGATAATGGAGTATCCCAGATGGTTTTCTGAGTTTGCTGATGCCAAACTTGTGCTAATCCTTCCAAGCCACATCCCTCTCTATCCTTATGGCCAATTTAATTGCCTTTTAGTCTTCATCATTCGAACCCTAGCTTCCTCAACATCTTGGATCTTTCCAGAACTGCATCCATCACTGTCGCTACCGGTCGCGTCACTTTTTTTTCGATTGAACCCTTCTTGTGGCATTTTTCGTTGATCGATTTCTTAGGAAGAGCTGAACCTCCGATTTCTGCCACGATCCTGTTCAACTCTTCCTCTTGCTGCGCCAATTTACTATTTACTCTGCCCTTCGTTTTTATCCTTCTCCAGTATGAATGACCCCAATTCGCTTAGTTCCTCAGGCAATTGTGATTCCTCACTATTAATTTGGGCTCCTTTGCCTTTCTTCTTCCGACCAACCATCGCGGGGGAACATTAGTAAATGTACGCTGAGAAAGAAGAGTCGGGATCTCTGTGTTGCCAGTATTTTTCTTTAAAATTTTATTAGTTGAGTTTTTTTATCTAAATTCACAGAATGCCACAAGAGTAAAAATGCTTATCGATTTTCTCAATGTGAAGTTTGAGCAAATTATCAAGGAAATGCTAAAATTAACACGGGAATGTTTTCGATGATGGTATGATAGGTTAATTATTTAAAGAAAATATTAATAGTAACAAACCTCCTACAAGCTTAAGCAAACACCGTAGCATAGCTAATCCACCGGTCATAGCTTAAACCATAGCATATGAATATTTTGTATTAACTCTGTCATGGAATTATTATTTATTTTAGATTTTTTATTTTGAATTATACTAAAATTAAAATGGAACTCATTTTGGATGAAGGAAGTAGTTGTCAAGTCATGTGTCAATTTTTTATTAGTTCTATTTTGATTAAATGGCGCTAATATTAACATAAAAATTGCTATAGATTAAGTAGTTGTCAAGTCATGTGTCAATTT